AAAGAGCAGCGGTGCGGGAAGGCAACGGAGACACTGCCGGGCGGAACTACAGGACACGGGGTTCCGGCCCGGCCCCGATTCCCGGCAGACCCCGCGGTGCTCCTTCTCTTCCGGTCCGGCGGTGGCGGCGAGCGTAGCTCGGGTGAGGGCGGCCTCGGCACCATCCGCGCCCATCCGGCACCATCCAGGCCCATCCGCGGGCTGGGCGGAGGGGCCGGGCCGGGGCTGTCGGAGCGGGGCGATGCTCGGGGCTCGGGGCCGGGCGGGCTCTTTGCGGGAGCCGGGCGCTCCTCGCCAGCCCGGCCCGGCTGAGCCGTGTGTGTTTCTCCCGCAGGTGCGACCATGGCCAAGTCCAAGAACCACACCACGCACAACCAGTGTGAGCGGGGCGGGGATCCAGGGCGGTTTAAGGGGGCTGGGACCGGCGCGGTGATGGTAGCACGGTCTGCCCGGGGGTTTGCAGCGAGATACGGTGGTGCTGCGCAGAGATCCAATGGGGGGCGGGTTTAAAGGAGTGTGATAAGAGTCGGGATTTGTTTGGGTTTAACGTAGAATTAATATACAACCAGAAAAATAGGAACTTTTATGTTAGAAAACTGGGGGTCGGCCTCTACTCTCAGGTAACCAGCAATAGGATGATAGAACACAGACTCAAGCTGTGGCAGGGTGGGTTTAGATTCGACATCAGGAAGAATTTCTACACGGGAAGGGTGTTCAGGCATTGGAATGGGCTGCACGGAGGGGGGAGGTGATGGTGTCACTGTCTCGAGGTATTTAAGGAAAGACTGAACGTGGCACTCGGTGCCATGGTCTGGTTGGCTGGGTGATGTTGGGTCATAGGTTGGACTGAAAGATCTCAGTGGCCTTTTCCAGCCTGAGTGATTCCGTGGTGTTCATCACCAGCTAAGCAGGCAGAGGGATCTTTTACCAGAGTAGGCAGTGACAGGACACAGGGGAATGGCTTCACACTGACAGAGAGTAGGCTTGGGTTGGATATAAGGAAGAAATGTTTTACCTGTGAGGGTGGTGAGGCCCTGGTACAGGGTGCCCAGGGAAGCCGTGGCTGCCCCATCCCTGGAAGTGTCCAGGGCCAGGTTGGACAGGGCTTGGAGCAGCCTGGGATAGTGAGATGTGGCTTTGGCAGGGGGGTGGAACAGGATGCTCTTCAAAGTTATTTCCAACCCAAACCATCCTGTCATTCTCTGGTGTTCCTGAGAAGCTTCATCGCTGGGATCATGTGCAATCCAGAGATGGCCACAGTGATGAAATCGTTTGTGTTTGGGTCTTCTCATCAGTGCTGTGACTTAGCAGAGGTCACGAGTAGATTCTGCTTGGTCCTACCCAGTGAGTGACTCTGCCCTCTGACACTGACCTCAAGTGCTTGAATTTATTAATGAGTGAGGCCTTTTACTCTGCTGGTGGTGCTGTCAATGTGTCCTTAGTTAATGAGCTACCTGAAATCCTTGGAAGCCCATGCAGAGAGATAAGCATAAAGATGTGTTTTTAGTTCAAATGCAGTTTGGATAGGAAGGGTCTGAAAATTGTCAATTCCACATCATTTTGATAGTCAAGTACACTTAAAAAGAAACTTACCCATCTGCTAAATAATAGCAGAAACTGTAATTGAAGTAATTGTCTCTTTTTCCACATAGCCCGTAAGTGGCACAGAAATGGCATCAAGAAGCCCAAAACCCATAGATACGAATCTCTCAAAGGGGTGAGTATTTCTACTGATATTCCCAGGCTGAGTCACTGAGGCTTAACTGTGAAAAAAATCCAGAATTTGTATTATTTTGACAGACAACAATTTTTGCAGACAGAGGCCTGTGTTCCAGGTGCTCAGAACCACTGTGGGGTTCAGTTCTTTTACTTACCTGACGTGCAGCTGGGGTATTTCTAACCCACGTTAAATCTGCCCTTGTATGTCTGTAAAACTGCATTTTAGTCAGTGGCTAGTGTAGTCCCTGTCCTGTTCTGGTGGCTGTCACTGAGTTCTGTTCCCAGTAAAACAAACACTTGCTAGTTAAATGTTCCTTTGCCTTTTGAGTCCTGCTGTGTCTCCTCCTCTCCTCCTCCTCCTCTCCTTTTTCTCACCTTCAGTATTGTTTTACTGTCTATACTGATCCAGATAATTTCACAAAATGAGAGGAGTTCACATTTCTGGGCAAAGCACATGAAAGTGACAGTATATTGCTTTTTCTGAGATTATCCAAATGGTACAGCAGGATCTTTTTCCACACTTGAAAGTGAAAACAGAAACTTTGGTGTTCACTGAGGGTTGTGATTTTATTTGCTTTGTAGATGTCATGATCTACAAAGCTTTTTTGAAGTGAAGTAAAAATTTCTCTTCCACAGAGCTCAGTGAGGGTTTGGTCCTGCCTCTCCTGCAGCTTTGCCCATCCTGTTCTTCATGTTTATTGGTGGGGTTTGGGGTTTTCTGTTTGTTTATTGCATTTAAGGAAAATAGCTGTTAAAGCCTGGTTGCAGATGACTAAAAAAATTTTGTTGAAAGAAAAAAAGCCTGAGCTAGCCCTGCATTTGTGAATAATTGGAACAATATGGAGCTGTAAATGTTTTTATATATCTCTTCTGCAACAGGGCTTATTTTTCCTTTATTTTTATAGGTTGATCCCAAGTTTCTGAGGAACATGAGATTTGCAAAGAAACACAACAAGAAGGGGCTGAAGAAGATGCAAGCAAACAATGCCAAGCAGGCAGCTCAGCAGGCTGCTCAGCAGAAAAAGGACTGATGTGCTTTGATAAGAAGACCCAGTTTTCTTATTGGCATGTGTGTTACAGCATTTTTTTAAATAAAATTGTGTGTAACAAAGCCTTCACCTCCTGAATTTGAGGAGAGCCCTCCAGAAGCCTTGAGTTGTACTTTAACTGCAAGGTGTGCATCAAGTCTGTGAACAGTGATCCAGGGGAGCCTGACTGGCTTGTAGTTCCCTGGATCCTCTTTGTGCTTTTGAAAACTGGGGTGACATTTTCTTTCTCGGGTACCATGACTTTAGCAATAATTCCTGGTGGTGTTACAGCAAGGTGAAATTTCCGAGGCTTTGCTGTGTGATTCCCTACAGCTGTGGGAATCCTGGGAAATAGGAGGGCAAGGAGTGCTGGCTGTGGTGTTGGAGACCACAGGAGTTTGTGTTGGAGTTGGTGTGTGTTGTATCTTGAAATACTTGTAGATGTTGAAGCATTAATGGAGCTAGCCATGGGAACGTGTAAGGGTTTAGGAATATACAAGATACACATTTTTTAATAGTGACTGATTGTAGGGAATGTCTTTGACATTGACAAAGTACTGTCTGTTGAAACCTGCTGGCTTGGGGACATGAGGGGAATAACGTGCAAAATCCCAGGAGGAGCTGAGCCCGGGGTTTGCTCCTGCTGTTTTGTACATCAGGAGAGGGCTTCACTCTCCAGGGCCCTCTCAAAGCTGACTCCGGCCGTGCTTTCCACTCCTGGCACGAGGCACCTGTTGGAATGCAGCCAGCTGTCCTGAAATTGCAGTTCCAGCGCTTGTCCACCCGATGGGGTAAATCCATGGAGCCACAGGAGGGCTGCGAGTTCACAGTTCCCTTCTGACTGCAGTAGAGCAACAAAACGCTTGCCGGGTGAAAAGCATAATTTTAACTGGAACATCCAATTCATGTAGCTAATTTTTTTACTAGTTTAGCCAATTACCAAAATTATATGCGTTAATTTGAATTCTTTCTGGCTTAAATTCAAAAATCTTTTCCCAATTCCCACTTTTTAATTGCTTTTGACTGATTAGGAAAACCCACCGACCCCTAAACCAGGTAATATAAAGAGATTTACTAATTTGAAACATTCAAAGCCAGTGATGTCTGTGTCCCTCAGCTGTCTGATTCCTGCTTTGTGCATCTCTTGGGCTTTTGTAGAGGGTGGGATTTGTCAGCCTGTTACAAATAAGTGTTTGAGGAACTTAAAGGATCACCAGCAAAGGTGTCAATAAAATCCAGATTTAATATTAAGCGACAGCATGACAGTTCATTGGCAAGGCTCACTCAGCTGCTTGCTCGCTGGTTAAGGCACACACAGAGTAGAGTTGGTGGTGGTGTTGAAGGAGATGGGAGTGGCTGGTCCAGTGAGGGTCAGTCATCAGTCTGGTGTAGATGAGTGTTACAAGAACAAAAGAAAAAAACCTCAACAGAGCACTTGGTTGTAGGAATTACTACTTGTGGATGGTTGGGACAACTCAGGCACTCTCTGTATTCTGGTCTTGAAGTTTGCAGTTTATTTCGTAGGGCATGGGTTTATATGAGGCCCTGCTGGGAACTGCAGCCACAGCTCAGAGCAGGACAGAGAGAGACGGATAGAGCAAGAGTAAGAGAAGAGAGTGTAAAAGAGTAAGAGCGAAGAGAGTAAGAGCATAAGAGAGTGATTTTCCCATTTACAGTACATTAAATCTTCTTCTATGTTGAATATTCTAATTTCCACTAACCAATCTAATACAAGACACAAATTCTCTAACATTTGCATGCAACCTATAGGAATCACTATATTACCATGTTTTACTGCTTTGCTTATCTCTAAATTTTATCTGGGACCCTTCCTGCCATACCTAGGGAGGATGTCTGTTTGCTTTTTGGTATTGGCAGCATCTACCATTATCCAAACAAAGGGGCCTTCAGGCATTCAGTTGCTTTCAGCCACACAGTCGAAAATTGCTATCATTTCTATTTCGCTTATATTTTCCATATTCTCAAAGTCTTTTGCTAGACACTCGTATTTATAAGGTTTCCCTAATTCATCCTTCCCAACACTTGGTGTTTGTCAGTCTATACCTTTACCTGTGTGTCTTCAGATTGTCTACCCAGTTTAAGTTCTGCATTTTAAATCTCTAGCACTAAAAATTCCATATAAGAAGGAAGATTTCATTTCAACCCTCTTGATATCTTCCCCAGAGTGCTTGTGTTGTGGGAATATGTCACCCACAAGAGAGAAGAGAGAGGCAAGAAAATGATGTTGGAATGTTAACGAGAAGCAGAGGGCAAGATTTGGGCTTCCTGTGGCTCCAGGCAGCTCCCCCAGGCCTGCCTTCAGAGGCAGCCTTTTCATGTTGCTGCCCTTCATGCTGCCCTTCAGTGGGACAACTTCCCAAATAAGGCCTTGCTGACTTTCTGACCAAAATAGCGGCTGCGTGACAAAATGCAGCCCAGAGGAACGTAACCTTAATCCAGGCATCATTGTGTAGCAAGATACAGGAATTCTGTGAGCTTCCACTGCAGCTCGGTGTCAGGTTTGTTGTTGTGTGCTCCCTGCAGACACTGCTTGGACATCAGTGGCCAGCTATTGCATTTGCTAACCCTGTGACACCTCTGCTCACTTGTCCCAGCCCAGAAGGGAAGGCTGTGAAGGCGAGTTTGTGCTGACTGTGCTTCTGGGGGGTCTCCATCCTCTTTCTCCTGCCTTGTGAAATCATTTAAGTTCTGTTGGTGAAGTTGGAGATCCTTTTTGGGGGCATTACGTATACAGAGCCCAGGAGGGGGAACTGACAGCTGTGGCCCACTTGAAACCATTCCTATTATGCAGAGCTCTCTCATCTTTGGTATTTAAAAACTTCAAAATTCTTATGATTAAGTGTTTGGTATCCTGGGGGAGGACAAAGAGCTCAAATGCATCTCAATGCTTAACAACTGCTGTACATCAGCTTATACATCTCATGCTGCTGCTGTATGTCATACTTGTGGCAAATTATTTCTCCCCTTTGCAACTAAGAGGACTCAGTATCAAGTTGCAGTTTGGCTCCTTTCTCTGATTTAAAAAAGAAAAAGAGCAAAGGGCGTGTAACCAAATACCAAATCATCTCATTTGGCAAAGGTGAGCCATTGCTCTGACAGCCAAGAGCACAGAACTGGGGAGGGGAAATCAAAGTCCTGCAAAATCTCTGATCAGATAAGGTGTTCACTGGGAACATTGATGTTCACAGTAATGATAAATAAAATACAGGCCTGGACAGGTGTTGCTCTGTCCTCCTTTATTGCCTTTCAATAGTGTGGTCAAAAAGAAGCAGCAACAGAGCATGAGTTCTGCTTTGCCCAGGCTTTAAGGCTTTTGCAGGTGTTTCTACACCACAGGGGCTTGGCGAAGTGTTCATCTGATGAACCTTAGCTCACATTACACTGCCACTGCCCTGCTGGCACGTTGATGCAGAGGTTTTATTCGGGCAGTGTGCACAAAATTTCATCGGAGCTTCCTGCAGTCACTTGGTCCACACAGCAAAGTTTTATTGAGGGCTGAGGAGAGGCCTCAAATACACTGATAAAGCTGCAAGCCAGGGCAGGAGTTTAAATCTACAGCAAAGGTAAGCAGATAAATGGCCTGAGACCTGTGGCAGTGTCTGGTGGCATGGGCTGCTGTCACCTGCCTGTACAGCTGCTGTCCCTGCTGGGGAGGTAAGAACACACAGATCTCGGAACTGTTTTAGGCACTGGTCAATGACTTTTTGCCTGATTAAAAAAACAATTAATTGCTTTTTTTTCCCCAGACAATGTGGACGTGTATCACATTCCTTAAATGCTTTTGGACACCAGAGGTTCACTACACACGCAGTGAAAATTGTGAACTGGTTTGGAGTTGCACAGACACATGGATTGCTCAGGGTGGTTTTCATTCGCTGTTAGCACATCCCCTGTGTGGGGGCTCAGCCAGGCTGATCCTCCAGGGGTGGCTGTTTTTTCAGCCTGCTCACCCACTCACTGGGCTGTCATGTTGTGTTACATTCCTTGTGCAGTTGTTCCTGTGTTTTAGCCAACAGTGAAATCCACCCACAGCTCCTCACCCTGCAGCATTTGCTGTCTGACTGGGAGGACAGGCAGTGTGTTAAGACAGTCCAGCCTGGCCACAGTTTTCCCAGCTTCCCAACCTCCTGTTCTAGGGACAGAAAAAGCCTAAATAGTCCTAGTGTATCTGCTCTTCTAGTGACACGTTTTGGCTGCTACAAGAACTTTGTCTTCTCTCTCCAGCCACCACCTTCCCAGCTTTATTCTTGGAAAAGGGTGGGCAGCCAGTGAGGCTGTGGCTTTCTTCTGCCATTGAGCCAAGGGGGAAGAGCCAAGACACGGGGCCAGGTGGCTCTTCCCAGGCTTCTTTTTCCCTGGGTCACAGCATAGTCCAAACCACCAAGCTGTCTGCAGGGTAGGGGTTAACCTTATTTATTCTCTTTTTCACCCTCCAGAGGAGGCAAAGCCTCTTGGTAAGCAATGGAGAATGTCTTGGAGAAGTCCTTTTTGGATACTGGGGTTTGGCCAGGACAGAGGAGGATAAGGGGGCTGTCAGTGATGCCTGATGTGATGTGATGTGATGTGATGTGATGTGATGTGATGTGATGTGAGCGCAGGGGTGGGTTGCTCGTGGGCTGGGTGGCCGTGGGTGTGGGGACAGCTGGCATTACCTCAGTTCCTGGCTGAAACCCAGCTGTTGGCAACTGTGGAGGTTCCCAGGCCTGGGGTAAAACATGAGGACATGCTGTATCCTCACAGGTTTCAGTGGGAAACTGCTGCTGCTACACTGCGGAGGCAGAAAGTGTTTCTTTCCCATTTCTAGGCTACAGATTAGTTAGAAATAGAATCTGTTAGCACCTGGGAGCATTCCATGTCCCAGGGTTTGTAGACCCATATTTCCACTGCCTTCTTGTGCACCGGAGTCCTGCTCAATCTGCAGTAGCTATGGCATCAAAGGCTTAGAGCCCTTGGGGAGAACCCTTTGTGTGGGTCAAACAGATTTTTGCATTAGAGCTGTTTCCAAAATACCCTTGATTTTTAGCTGACAGGTTCATTTTCTTAGTTCTTCTGTTTCTATAAG